ATCACATTGTGGCACACACATATAAGATCATTAATCACATTGTGGCACACACATATAAGATCATTAATCACATTGTGGCACACACATATAAGATCATTAATCACATTGTGGCACACACATATAAGATCGTTAATCACATTGTGGCACACACATATAAGATCATTAATCACTTTGTGGCACACACATATAAGATCATTAATCACATTGTGGCACACACATATAAGATCATTTATCACATTGTGGCACACACATATAAGATCATTAATCACATTGTGGCACACACATATAAGATCATTAATCACATTGTGGCACACACATATAAGATCATTAATCACATTGTGGCACACACATATAAGATCATTAATCACATTGTTGCACACACATATAAGATCATTAATCACATTGTGGCACACACATATAAGATCATTAATCACATTGTGGCACACACATATAAGATCATTAATCACATTGTGGCACACATCTAATATCACCCATCACATTGTGGCACACACATATAATATCATTAATCACATAGTGACACACATCTAATATCACTAATCACATTGTGGCACACATCTAATATCACCAATCACATTGTGGCACACATCTAATACCACCAATCACATTGCGACACACATCTAATACCACCAATCACATTGTGGCACACATCTAATACCACCAATCACATTGTGGCACACATCTAATACCACCAATCACATTGTGGCACACATCTAATACCACCAATCACATTGTGGCACACATCTAATATCAACATTCACATTGTGCCACACAAATACGGCCCAACAACTTAGAAGTGAAAGTTATATATTCAAAATCGAAGTTTTTTCACGGTAAGAATAATGTTGGAATAGTTTTGTTGTAATTGGCTGGCATGCATAATGACGTATACTGTTACGTCATAAGGTTATCCTCTGCCAGAAATTAAACTTACATAAGGTTATCCTCTGCCAGAACTTAAACTTACATAAGGTTATCCTCTGCCAGAACTTAAACTTACATAAGGTTATCCTCTGCCAGAACTTAAACTTACATAAGGTTATCCTTTGCCAGAACTTAAACTTACATAAGGTTATCCTCTGCCAGAACTTAAACTTACATAAGGTTATCCTTTGCCAGAACTTAAACTTACATAAGGTTATCCTCTGCCAGAACTTAAACTTACATAACGATAATCTAAACCTCTAAACAAAACGCCTCAAACATTAAACATTTATGTTTTACCTCTGTGTCAGAAATACAATGATATTAACCATATATACACAAACAATATAATATTTACACTCATAACATAAACTTCAAAGCACTTACTCTCATAACAGAGTGTATTTACACTCATGGCATGGCACATAAATCAGTCATTTAAAATCATAAAACAAACGTCAGTCACTTACACTCATAACACAAAAATCATATTATTTACATTCATAACACAAAAATCATGGAAATTTACAGTAATAATTCAAACAGTATGTCAATTTACATTCATAACACAAAAGTCATCGCATTTACATTCATAACACAAATATCGTAGCAATTTAAACTCATAACACAAGCATCATGACATTTACATTCATAACACAAGCATCATGACATTTACATTCATAACATAAACATCATGACATTTACATTCATAACACAAACATCATGACATATACATTCATAACACAAACATCATGACATTTACATTCATAACACAAACATCATGACATTTACATTCATAACACAAACATCATGACATATACATTCATAACACAAACATCATGACATTTACATTCATAACACAAATATCGTAGCAATTTAAACTCATAACACAAGCATCATGACATTTACATTCATAACACAAGCATCATGACATTTACATTCATAACACAAACATCATGACATTTACATTCATAACACAAACATCATGACATATACATTCATAATACAAAGCTCCATGGAAATAAAACACTAAATGAAGTTTTCATTTGAAATAATTTCTATGAGATAACACTTGATTCATTGGAGACAGGATACGACATCAGGATCTAACATCAGGACCTAACGTTAGGACCTAATATCGGGACCCAAAACAGGACATAACGTCAGTACCTAACATCAGTACCTAACATCAGGACCTAACATCAGGACCTAAAATCAGCACCTAACACTAGGACCTAACATCGGGACCTAACATCGGGACCTTACACCAGGACCTAAACTCAGCACCTAACATCAGGACCTAACATCAGGACATGACACTCGATTCACTCGCCTTCACCTCGTTCATCAACCACTTGCACGTTGCTTTGGTTAAAAGATTATTCTCCTCCGACGTCAGCCTCCTCCTAACCGTCGGAACACCTGAGGGACGCCTATGAACCAGCGATCTGTCTGTCAATCCCTCTTGGGCGCGTGACGCCAGAGACGCCTCTGAACCTTCGCTCTCCAAGTAGAGGTGTTCGTTGGCATCTAAGCTCATGGCCGGGTCACCTTCCGAGCAGCTCCTGTGCTGGACACGACCTCCGCCGATGACCGAATACGCGTCGTCAGCGAGCGACAGCTCGGAGTCTTCGAACACATCTGATTTTATGAAGTCCAACTCCTCGCAGTCACGCATGATTTGTTCCATAATGTCCCCTTCGCTGTACTTGGAACTGGAGACCTTGCAGCTGCTGCTCTCGTCCCCACTCGCCGTCTCCGAGATTAAAGCGACGTGATCGTTCGATGACCTACTTTCATCGGGTTTGGCGCAAAGCGAATTTTCTTGAGCCATTTTGAAGGAAACGTGGTCATCGTTTAACCTTAACCCACCGACTTCAGAAGCCGGACCAGGACCAGGACCAGGACCAGGACCAGGACCGTTTCCGTCAGTATCCGCTAACGCGTCGCAGCTCCCATAATTTGATCCGTTTCTGAGGTCAGTTTCGATCAAACTTTTCGATCCGTTTCTAACCGGATGCACGATGGTTTCACTCGAAGGCGGAGACTCCTCGCTCCCCTCGCTGGGCAATTTCCCGGAGAGTTTTGCCCGGCGGGCCAGGGGAGCTAGCTCATAATCCAGACCACCCGAGTTTTCGGAGCACTTATTCCGTCCCTTTGATTTGAAAATGTTTGATTTCTGCGCCAGCTGTCCTCTGCCCAATTTCACAGCGGCCTCGTTCAGGATATTCAGATCTTTCTCGTTGAGACCCTTCTGGCGCCGGCCTGCGCGGATCGCCGACTTGACTCCGGACAATTTAAAGTCCGCGATCCGACGGTTGACGTCGAGCGTGGTCAGTGTCGGGTCCGTGGTTTGACTCGGGAGGTAATTGTGGTGGCGCGCCCTGTAGCCGCGTCGGGCGCAGCGCGGCTCCTTGCACCGGCAGGCGGCGGTGCGTAGGCAAGACGGCAAGGGGATGCGCCTGTGGACGGTAAAAGTATGTGAAGGCTGCTTAGACGGCAGCGGTTGCCTCATTGGCACCGCGCACACACACACACACCCCAGGCACACGTGAGGATGAAGGGTCCTAACCTCTTTACCTTAAAAGAGCAAGCACTTTGCAAGGCTTGCTGAAACCGAAAGAAACAACTTTGTTAAGAGGGTGATGGCTTCCAGCACGGGAGACTCAAATATTTGTGTCTTAATGATTGTTGTTTATTTGTGTTTATTTTTAAAAATATAATTGAGTTCTTTAATTGCATCCAAGGTCTAATTGAGTTCTTTAATTGCATTCAAGGTCTAATTGAGTTCTTTAATTGCATTCATGGTCTAATTGAGTTCTTTAATTGCATTCAAGGTCTAATTGAGTTCTTTAATTGCATTCAAGTCTAATTGAGTTCTTTAATTGCATTCAAGTCTAATTGAGTTCTTTAATTGCATTCAAGTCTAATTGAGTTCTTTAATTGCATTCAAGGTCTAATTGAGTTGTTTAATTGCATTCAAGTCTAATTGAGTTCTTTAATTGCATTCAAGTCTAATTGAGTTCTTTAATTGCATTCAAGTCTAATTGAGTTCTTTAATTGCATTCAGGTCTAATTGAGTTCTTTAATTGCATTCAAGTCTAATTGAGTTCTTTAATTGCATTCAAGTCTAATTGAGTTCTTTAATTGCATTCAAGTCTAATTGAGTTCTTTAATTGCATTCAAGTCTAATTGAGTTCTTTAATTGCATTCAAGTCTAATTGAGTTCTTTAATTGCATTCAAGTCTAATTGAGTTCTTTAATTGCATTCAAGTCTAATTGAGTTCTTTAATTGCATTCAAGTCTAATTAAGTTCTTTAATTGCATTCAAGTCTAATTGAGTTCTTTAATTGCATTCAAGTCTAATTGAGTTCTTTAATTGCATTCAAGTCTAATTGAGTGGATTTTCTGATGCATTTCATCAATTATAATTCCCTTCAAATGTTGCGTAGTGCTTGACCAAGATCTATCTTTTCACGTCACTCGTCATATCCTGCATTTTTTCTCTTCTCAAGCCCTTCTTGTCACTTAAACCCAATTGTATGGACTTAATCATGATATCACTGACACGCGAACTCATTCTATATAATTATAAAATATTATCAAAACATGCAAATTGTTTTTAAAAAAAAACAAAAAACACACACACACACTTGCAAAAACACATTCACACACACTGCCACAGACACCTACACACCCACACTCACAAACTGTCGAAAACGCACACACACACCAGATCTCCGTTACCAAACGTGTATTACCTGCATTACCTTAAGTTTTTACATATCCTGGTGCTGAATATCCCGTAGATGATGGGGTTGGCCGCGGAGTTCAGGGGCGCTGCCGACTGGATGAGGGTGGACACGGGGTTGTTCGGGGCGATGATGTTGTACACGTCCAGCAGGTTGTACAGGAAAAACGGACTCCAGCACATTATAAACACTGGGCAGAGAAGAGCAGGCGTTAAAACAGAGATTACACTTACAGCAGGGTGGTTCTCAAAGCTGGGCCAGTGACCCCGTACTCGGGATAAACATTTAGAAGTAGTCAGTGTGTGCACCCTTTTCTTATGTGCCCTACGACTTACGGGTAATGGTGCCTTTTCTTATGTGCCCTACGACTTACGGGTAATGGTACCTTTTCTTATGTGCCCTACGACTTACGGGTAATGGTGTTGTCATGTTAAACCAGATTCACAAATCAGTCAAACTTCTATAATACAGGTATCACATTAACCAATTTCCATGCTAAGCTGTACATAAGTATTCATCACCCTTTTTGTTTATCTACATAATATTAATCTCCCGATTGTCATTTTTTTTCTTCTAAATTTCTCAGAATAGTTCTGAGTGCAACTACGCAAGTCAAAACAAGATCTTTGTCTGATGCGCGCGTCTTTTGAATCAGTGAATCGTTGTCATGGTCACTTAGTTAAGTTAACGACACCACTGACATGTTTCATGAGACAGCATTATTTTCAGTTTCTGTATCGAAAGCGACGTATCAGTTTCAGCTCCGATTACTATGATAAGCTTTTGTACGATAAAATTGTAACAATAGATTTAACATTTCAGTACAGTTCACATTGATAAGATTTTATTACCGATGGCTATGATAAGCTTTAGTACGATGCTGTTGTACCCAAAGCTACCACGCTACATGTAACAGTACAGTTCACAACAATAAGATTTTTTTTATATTACCGATGACTATGATAAGTGTCATCTTGATGGTTCTTATCTTTGCCTGGGGAATGATACCACGCCCAGTATCATGGCGGCTCTCGTTGATGATAAGGCGAGGATGGATGGCGGACGAACCTGTGGGGGGGGGGGGTGGGCATTTCATACAGTGAAACCTGGAAATAACGCAAAAAGGCAAAACCCTTTGGGTCGGAAGAAGATTAGTGCTATTTACAGGTTCATCCATTGTTAAATTTTCAATCCGCGCCGAGGTCAGTAACCCTGTTGCCAGGGACATCGCTATTTCAAGGTTCGTAGTCTCCAAATTTCACTGCAGCATCTACAGGACTGTGACGTTTCATGAATCTTTTCACACTGATACCTTTAGATATGTGGCACACACATATGATGTCATTAATCATATTGTGGCACACACATATAATGTCATTAATCACATTGTGGCACACACATATAATGTCATTAATCACATTGTGGCACACACACATGATGTCATTAATCACATTGTGGCACACACATATGATGTCATTAATCACATTGTGGCACACACATATGATGTCATTAATCACATTGTGGCACAAACATATAATGTCATTAATCACATTGTGGCACACACATATAATGTCATTAATCACATTGTGGCGCACACATATGATGTCATTAATCACATTGTGGCGCACACATATAATGTCATTAATCACATTGTGGCACACACATATGTCATTAATCACATTGTGGCACACACATATAATGTCATGAATCACATTGTGGCGCACACATATGATGTCATTAATCACATTGTGGCGCACACATATAATGTCATTAATCACATTGTGGCGCACACATATGATGTCATTAATCACATTGTGGCGCACACATATAATGTCATTAATCACATAGTGACACACATCTAATATCACGATTCACATTGTGACACACATCTAATATCACCATTCACATTGTGACACACATATAATATCACCAATCACATTGTGACACACATCTAATATCACCAATCACATTGTGACACACATCTTATATCACCAATCACATTGTGACACACATCTAATATCACGATTCACATTGTGACACACATCTTATATCACCATTCACATTGTGACACACATCTAATATCACTATTCACATTGTGACACACTCCTTATATCACCATTCACATTGTGACACACATCTAATATCACGATTCACATTGTGACACACATCTAATATCACGATTCACATTGTGACACACATCTAATATCACCATTCACATTATGACACACGTCTAATATCACCATTCACATTGTGACACACATCTAATATCACCATTCACATTGTGACACACATCTAATATCACTATTCACATTGTGACACACATCTAATATCACGAGTCACATTGTGACACACATCTAATATCACTATTCACATTGTGAAACACATCTTATATCACCATTCACATTGTGACACACATCTAATATCACTATTCACATTGTGACACACTCCTTATATCACCATTCACATTGTGACACACATCTAATATCACGATTCACATTGTGACACACATCTAATATCACGATTCACATTGTGACACACATCTAATATCACCATTCACATTATGACACACGTCTAATATCACCAATCACATTGTGACACACATCTAATATCACCATTCACATTATGACACACGTCTAATATCACCATTCACATTGTGACACACATCTAATATCACCATTCACATTGTGACACACATCTAATATCACGATTCACATTGTGACACACGTCTAATATCACGATTCACATTGTGACAGACATCTAATATCACCATTCACATTGTGACACACATCTAATATCACGATTCACATTGTGACACACATCTAATATCACGATTCACATTGTGACACACATCTAATATCACCATTCACACTGTGACACACATCTAATATCACGATTCACACTGTGACACACATCTAATATCACGATTCACATTGTGACAGACATCTAATATCACGATTCACACTGTGACACACAACTTATATCACCATTCACACTGTGACACACATCTAATATCACGATTCACATTGTGACAGACATCTAATATCACGATTCACATTGTGACACACATCTAATATCACCATTCACACTGTGACACACATCTAATATCACGGCTCACACTGTGACACACATCTAATATCACGATTCACATTGTGACAGACATCTAATATCACGATTCACATTGTGACACACATCTAATATCACCATTCACACCGTGACACACATCTAATATCACGATTCACACTGTGACACACATCTAATATCACGATTCACATTGTGACACACATCTAATATCACCATTCACACTGTGACACACATCTAATATAACGATTCACACTGTGACACACATCTAATATCACCATTCACATTGTGACACACATCTAATATCACCATTCACACTGTGACACACATCTAATATCACGATTCACATTGTGACACACATCTAATATCACCATTCACATTGTGACACACATCTAATATCACGATTCACATTGTGACACACATCTAATATCACGATTCACATTGTGACACACATCTAATATCACGATTCACACTGTGACACACATCTAATATCACGATTCACATTGTGACAGACATCTAATATCATATTCACATTGTGACACACATCTAATATCACGATTCACATTGTGACACACATCCAATATCACCATTCACATTGTGATACACATCTAATATCACGATTCACATTGTGACACACATCTAATATCACCATTCACACTGTGACACACATCTAATATCACGATTCACACTGTGACACACATCTAATATCACCATTTTCATTGTGACACACATCTAATATCACGATTCACATTGTGACACACATCTAATATCACCATTCACACTGTGACACACATCTAATATCACCATTCACATTGTGACACACATCTAATATCACGATTCACATTGTGACAGACATCTAATATCACCATTCACACTGTGACACACATCTAATATCACCATTCACATTGTGACACACATCTAATATCACCATTCACACTGTGACACACATCTAATATCACCATTCACATTGTGACACACATCTAATATCACGATTCACATTGTGACAGACATCTAATATCACGATTCACACTGTGACACACATCTAATATCACCATTCACATTGTGACACACATCTAATATCACGATTCACATTGTGACACACATCTAATATCACCATTCACACTGTGACACACATCTAATATCACCATTCACATTGTGACACACATCTAATATCACGATTCACATTGTGACAGACATCTAATATCACCATTCACACTGTGACACACATCTAATATCACGATTCACACTGTGACACACATCTAATATCACGATTCACATTGTAGTAGACATCTAATATCACCATTCACATTGTGACACACATCTAATATCACGATTCACATTGTGACAGACATCTAATATCACCATTCACACTGTGACACACATCTAATATCACGATTCACACTGTGACACACATCTAATATCACGATTCACATTGTGACAGACATCTAATATCACCATTCACATTGTGACACACATCTAATATCACCATTCACATTGTGACACAAATCTAATATCACGATTCACATTGTTACAGACATCTAATATCACGATTCACACTGTGACACACATCTAATATCACGATTCACATTGTGACACACATCTAATATCACGATTCACATTGTGACACACATCTAATATCACGATTCACATTGTGACACACATCTAATATCACGATTCACATTGTGACACACATCTAATATCACGATTCACACTGTGACACACATCTAATATCACGATTCACATTGTGACAGACATCTAATATCACCATTCACATTGTGACACACATCTAATATCACCAATCACATTGTGACACACATCTAATATCACCAATCACATTATGACACACATCTAATTTCACCAACCACATTGTGGCACACATCTAATACCACCAATCACATTGCCACTTACATCTTGCCGACCACACTCTCCAAGTCCTACTGACTGTATGTTTGCCACCAGCCATACCACCAGTGGCTTACCGCATATATATTTACCACCGGACACATCTTTGTCTTACCTCCTTTACATCTACCACAAGACCCCCTCCTTATACTAACTTAAAGCCATACAAATTAAAGTGACGTCATTGATCAGAAGTACGCCACAGTTTTCCTGTGGAATATTAGCTAAACATAATTATCCAGCACCTTTTCTTACACACAAAAAATGGTGGCAATGTTACATGAAATATTAATGTCTTACCTTCTGTATGGTGACATTGTGGCATGACTTAATTTATGTCTTACCTCTTGTAGTGATGACATTGAGAAATGACATATTATGTCTTAACTACCGTGGGATGACCACGTGACATGACATATGTATGACTTACCTCCCGTGTGATGGCCACTTCTAGGCTCATGAAAGCGGCCCTTGGACCAGATGATGTAAATAATGGCAATGTAACACGTGGCTATGATGATGGCGGGAAGCAGAAACGTCACCAGAAAGACGGCAGTGAAAAAGAGCTGTTTTTTTTAAAATGGACGATACAATCATGTGGATAAGTGGGCGATAGGATCATGTGGATAAGTGGGCGATAGGATCATGTGGATAAGTGGGCGATAGGATCATGTGGATAAGTGGGCGATAGGATCATGTGGATAAGTGGGCGATAGGATCATGTGGATAAGTGGGCGATACAATCATGTGGATAAAAGGACGACACAATCATGTGGATAAATGGACGATACAATCATGTGAATAAATAGATGATACAAACATGTGGATAAATGGACGATACAACCATGTGGATAAATGGACGATACAATCATGTGAATAAATAGATGATACAACCATGTGGATAAATGGACGATACAATCATGTGGATAAATGGACGACACAATCATGTGGATAAATGGACGATACAATCATGTGGATTAATGGACGATACAATAATGTGGATAAATGGACGATACAATCATGTGAATAAATAGATGATACAAT